AATGCAGCATCAATATGTATTTGCAGTATGATAAAAATGATTAAATTAATGGAACTGATAATTAGTTGGAAATATATTCTACCATATTCTTTTCATATAATCTAATCAAATTGCATATTTAATTAATTCACACAGATTAGTTTTATATAAAAAATTTACCAGCAATATGTTAAATTATGAAAAGATGAAATTGATACTTGGTAGCTTCACTCATCTTTTTTTTCTTTTTTGCATTTTTATAATAATAATAATAATAATAACAGTAATAACAATAATAATGATATCAATAGCGATAATAATAATAACAATAATAATAATAATGATAACAATAACAATAATAATAATAGCAATAATAATAATAATAATGATAACAATAACAATTACAACAATAATAATTATTATTATTAATAATAATAATAAAAGTGATAAATAAATAGTTGTAGGAAATAATTTTTTGACTATATATTAATTATAAATCATATTTTAAAATAATTTTATTACAAAATTCATTGCATTAATTGCAATTTTATTTTTTCAAACTTTAATAAGTAATAATAATAATAATAATAACAAAAAATATAAAAAATGAGCATAATTAAATTGAAATAGAATAAATTTTAAATAGCTATTGCTATTTCAAAAAGAATCATTTAATTTAATCAAATATTTGAGCAAACTTATAAATCGATTGTCTGCTAAAGAATTAACATCTAAAAATTTCAACGAGATTACTTTTCAATGAATAAGTAAGTAAGTATCTTTCAATCAATAATTTCATTTTGTATAAATTTCAAAATTTTATTATAGATATTTCAAGTGATTTAACATTTTTAAATATTTAAAAATTTTAATAGAAAATTTAAAAAAGTTAAAATTTAAATAAAATGATAATTAGAAGTGATTAATTGGTTAATTTCAAATAAAAGATTTCAGATAATTTGTGAAAATTCAGATAATAGCAGTAGAATTCTCAGTGATGCAAAAAAAATCATTGAAATGATTTCATTAAAATTAATTTTAATTACAATCCACTCATGTTTTCAAGCATAATTAATTATTCTGCAAGTTAGGAGCAAAATGAAAAAGGAAAATGGAAAAAAAAATATTACTTTTATCATATTTTATTTAATAGTTGCTCGTGAATAATTGCAATTGTGCAGAAATTAAATTTATTTTTACTTCTCATTACTTTGTGTCATTCATTAATCGACAAAATGAGAAAACAAAAAAAAAAAAAAAAAAAAAACAAATGAAAAAATTTTTTAAATGAATAATGAATAAACAATTAAATTTATTGTTTATACAAATTTGCACAGTTAAATTTAACTAAATTTTAGCAAAAATTAAATTTTTAAATAAATTTTTAGATTTATTCTCTTGTTATTTTAAACATGCGCAAAAATTCATCAGCAAAATTAATAAAACTTTCAATTAATCATGGTTTTAAATCAATTTAAGAATTAAAATTAAATTTTATTTCAAATTTGGTTAAATGTTTAATGCAATATTTAGCAAAAATATTAGCAGTTTGTATTAATTAATAAATCAATTTAATAATCGATAACATCTTTTTTTTTTAAGTTTTAAAATTCTAAATTACATAATAATTTAGCATTTTCTAAGTTTTAAATAAATTTAGCAATTTATAAAAAAAAAAAAATTTGAATTTTGGAAGAATAATGAAAATTTTATTTTATTTTTTTTTTTTAATTTTTTTACTAATAAATTTTACATTTATTTATTTCTTATCAACCCAAAATTTTTGTAAGTATATTTTGTTTTAAAGTGAAAAAAAAAAAAAAAAAAAAAAATGAAATGTAACGAAAACTGTACTGATTTGTATGATAAATTGAATTGATCAAAATGAGAATTGTAATATAATTTTTGTGATCTGTTTTTTAAAGTTCGCAAATTTTTTTTTATTTTTTAGTTTTTTTTTTTTTTTTTTTTTACGTTTTGTCGTTTTTTTGTTTTAAATTAAGGACAAGAAAAAAAGAAAAGAAAGTTTTAAACAAATGATTTAATTTATTTGTTTGCATGAATAATCTTAAATTTTTCTTTTTAAATCTTACTTAATATTTTTAAAATTTTAATCAATTTTAAGCTAATTCCTGTGCTCTATTTTAAATTTAAAATAAAAGTTGAAAAAAAAATCTTTTTAAAAGCTTACTTAATATTTTTAAAATTTTAATCAATTTTAAGCTAATTCCTGTGCTCTATTTTAAATTTAAAATAAAAGTTGAAAAAAAAATCTTTTTAAAAGCTTACTTAATATTTTTAAAATTTTAATCAATTTTAAGCTAATTCCTGTGCTCTATTTTAAATTTAAAATAAAAGTTGAAAAAAAAAATCTTTTTAAAGCTTACTTATTATTTTTAAAATTTTAATCAATTTTAAGCTAATTCCTGTGCTCTATTTTAAATTTAAAATAAAGTTGAAAAAAAATCTTTTTAAAAGCTTACTTAATATTTTTAAAATTTTAATCAATTTTAAGCTATTTTGCTATTTTAAATTTAAAATAAAAGTTGAAAAAAAATCTTTTTAAAAGCTTACTTAATATTTTTAAAATTTTAATCAATTTTAAGCTAATTTCTGTGCTCTATTTTAAATTTAAAATAAAGGCTGAAAAAAAAAAAGTAATAATTTTTTTTTTTTTTTTTTTTTGTTAAACTACTGATGTCATATTGATGATATAAATGATATTTTTATTTTTTTTTTTCTTCCACTCCCATTCTTTTCTACCGATTAAATGATAACATTTTGATAAAAACACAAAAAATTTTTCTCAAATCATATTTCTTCTAAATATCAAAACTACTTCTTCTTTTCATTTTTTTTTTTTTTTTTTGAAATTTTTTTAAGTTTAATTTAATTATTAAATAATTTATTTCCATAATTATAAATGCAAATTATTTATTTATTTATTGCTGTTAAAAAAAAAAAAAGAAAAAGAAAAATAAAATATTTTGCACAGTTCAAATAGAACATTTAAAAGAAAAAAAAAACATTCTTCCACATTTCTTGGCATTTTTTGTTGACCTTTGCACTTATTTCATTGCCATCAATAATCGATAACGTTACACCACTGTCATCGTTGTCACCATTGTCACCGTTGTCACCGTTGTCACCACTGTCATCACTGTCACCTTATGATTGTAACAAATATTCCTTTTAGTTCATTTTCTTATCAACTCGAAGCATTCATTTTAATTGCTAAAAAGCGAATTAATTTAGCCTTCGTATTTTTCTTTTCTTTTATTTTCTTTTTTTTTTTAGGATAAAAATCAAAAGTATATATGCAAAATTATTATATTTAATCAAAAATTCATTCATAATGCATTACACTATTAGTTTATAATATATCGAAATAAATATAAAATTATAATTCCAACCAATATGTTTCATTTTTTTTTTTTCGTAAATTTGATGTAACTTTTTGATCAAAAGAATAGATAATTTAGATTAATTAGATTAATTACGTTTTACTTGACTTATTTTTAAGTTTATAGAACTTTTAGAACTTGAATTTTTGACGTTTGATGACATAAACTTGACGTCAAGTTTATAGAACTTGACTTTTTGACTTTTACTTGAATATTTTTGAGAATTTTTGAAAAAAGAAAACAAATGGAAATGCACATTAAAACACGTAAATGTACAGCAACCAGAATCGAAAATATTTTCGTCACCAAATTAATTTTTGTAATAAAAATGGAAAATAAGGTCATGGTCATGATTGACAGTTTTTGTCTACAATAAAATTTGATCGACTAATTGACGAAATTTTTTTTTTTTGACCTTTACTATAAACATTTAATAACGAACTTACAACCTTTTACTTGTAGAATTGTTAGTTGTCAGATTGAAAGATATTAAAAATAAAGTTGAAAACGATTTTCAAACGTAACACTATTGTCATAATTTTGAAGAATTTTTTTTTTGGTCAGAAAAAATAGATGATTTTAGGTTTGTTAAGTTTTACTTGACTTATTTTTAAGTTTATAGAACTTGAGCTGAATCTTTTTGCTTCTTCTTATCTGCAAACCAGATCAACCCAAATATGATTTATTTTCTTTATGAATGTGAATCGATACAATATTACAGTCGAATAATTGAAGCAGCGAAGGAATAAATGGCAGTAGGAGAATGAGAAGACTGCCATCGATCCTTCTTCTTTTTTTTTGTTTATTAATTGATTAGAGAAGATTTTTAAGGATGTGAGAAGTAAGCTTAGCTTAACAGATTAACATTTACAAGAAAGGACAATGAAGAGACAAATGTACATTTACTATTTGAGGTTTAGATAATGAATTCATTGTTTCGAAAAAAAAAAAATGGAATATAACAAAGGAATAACGAATTGATTTATAGTAATGAATCATTAGCATTATTCTAAATCAAATTAGTGTGTAATAAAAAAAATTTCTTTTTTTCAATTTTCCAACAAAATTATTTTTTCTTTTTTTTTTTTTTCCCATTTCAATGAAAATATTATTTTATACTAAAAAATATTTTTGAAATATTTGTTCATGTATATAGATAATGGTATTATTTTTATTTTATACTAAAGTATTATTGAAATATTTGTTCAAGTATATAGATATATTGGTATTACTTTTTTTTAAAATATTATTTTATACTAAAAAATATTTTTGAAATATTTGTTCAAGTATATAGATATATTGGTATTATTTTTATTTTATACTAAAGTATTTTGCAAACTAGATCAACCCAAGAAGTATATGGATATTGCTATTATTTTTATTTAAAATATTATTTTATACTAAAAAATATTTTGAAATATTTGTTCAAGTATATAGATATTGGTATTATTTTTTTTTTTTTTTTAAAATATTATTTTATACTAAAATATTATTAAAATATTTGCTAATTATACATATATTATTAGTTATTTCAAGGAAAGAGAAAAGAAATCATACATTTTACATAATAGATTAAAACAAAAAATTAAATAATTTACAGATTTACAGTAAAATTAAATGATGAGAATGGAAATGAATGATGAAACGAATGAAATAAATCACACAAATAACATTCGTAGAAGTATAAATAAAGTAAGTAATACTAAAGAAAAAAGTTTTTTTTTTTTTACTGTTTTGCTTTCTTTTTTTTTGAATGATAATATTTTCTTTTCTTTTATTTCATCAATTAATAAAAAAAAAAATGTAATAATTATTTACAAATATTTATTTATTTATTTATTTACTTTTTTCAGATTATACTTAGTGCTATAGTAATGCTTGCAGTAGCATTATCATGGGCATTAAGTACACAATTTACTAAATCAATTTGGGTAATTAATTCGAAATATTTTTATGCACCATATTTTATGGTTTGGTTTAATACAAATTTTATGATGGCATGCTATCCTGTTTATTTATTATTTGCTAAATTATTTTATCATTCATCATTTACTACCATACATCAGTAACTTTAATTATTTCATTTTAATTTTTAAACATTTATTAAATATTTAAACAATAATTAAATTTTTTTTTAATCAAAAATAAAGGAGAATTGAAATAAGATAATTCATGAGTAATTTAATTTAAAATGAATTTAATAAATAAAAAAAAAATCATTTATTATTAACAAACATATATATGATTGAAATATTAAAAAAAAAAAAATAAATAAATAAAAATCATGAGTAATTAAATTTAAAATGAATTTATTAATTAAAAAAAAAAAAATTATTTATTATTAACAAACATATATATGATTGAAATATTTTTAAAAAAACAAAAAAAAATATTTTTTTTTTCAGGAAAGCATTATTGGTCTATGGCGAAGCAAATAATCGTTTACGATTATATTTTATACGAACGAGCCTATTCCTAATGTTTTGGCTCATTGCAAATTATTCATACTCACAATCACTAGGCCATATTTCAGCTAGTGCTACATCATCAATAATGAGTTCAAATACAGCTATGGTTGTTATTTTTGGATGGATTATTCTAAATGATCAATTCATTCCATTTCGAGTATTATATTCTTTTTTTTTTTGTTCAATCTTTAGTAAAAGTAGTAATAATTAAAAAAAAAATTTCAAAAATAATTTTGCTTTCCTATAATTTCACTAATTTGTATTTTTAATTATTAATTAAATAGTTTAATTGATTTGATCTTTTTTTTTTAATTGTTTTAATTAATTAATTTTTTTAATTAATCTCTAGTAAAAGTAGTAATAATTAAAAAAAAAAATTTTCAAAAATAATTTTACTCTCCTATAATTTCACTAATTTGTAATTTTAGTTATTAATTAAATAGTTTAAAATTGATTTGATCTTTTTTTTTTTTTAATAATTGATTTGATCAACTGATACAACAGTATTATTGATTACATTTCGTTATTTTTTAAAAAAAAATTCAGATTTAATTTGAATTGAAAAAAAAAAAGAAAAAAGAAAAAACTTTTATTATTTATTAACAAATCACATTCTTATACAAATAAAAATTATTTAATATTTGATAAAATAAATGCAATCTCTTATCATAAATTTATATTTAAAAAAAAGTAATTTGATTTTCAGATTGTTTTCTTTTTTTTTTTTTTTTGAAATTAAGAATGCGATCAAAATAATTTTATCATTTTAGCTAATCTCAGTAGCAGCAGCAATAATTGGTGTTACTGTAATTTCATTAGATAAAGAATTTGTTGGTAGTATTTTTGGCATATCATTATCAGTACTTTCTGCTTTATCTGCTGCATTATATAAGGTTTTTTTTTTTTAACTTAATTTTTATAATAATTTTTATCATACATTAATTTTCATTCATTGATTAATTGATTTGATCAATTGATCAACTTTCATTCATTGATTAGTTGATTCGATCAAATTGATCAACCTTCATTCACAGATTAATTGATCTGATCAATTGATCAATTTTCATTCATTGATTAATTGATTTGATCAATTGATCAACTTTCATTCATTGATTAATTGATTTGATCAATTGATCAATTTTCATTCATTGATTAATTGATTTGATCAATTGATCAACTTTCATTCATTGATTAATTGATTTGATCAATTGATCAACTTTCATTTATTGATTAGTTGATTCGATCAAATTGATCAACTTTCATTTATTGATTAGTTGATTCGATCAAATTGATCAACTTTCATTCACAGATTAATTGATCTGATCAATTGATCAATTTTCATTCATTGATTAATTGATCTGATCAATTGATCAACTTTCATTGATCTGATCAATTGATCAACTTTCATTCACTGATTAATTGATCTGATCAATTGATCAATTTTCATTCATTGATTAATTGATTTGATCAATTGATCAACTTTCATTCATTGATTAGTTGATTTGATCAATTGATCAACTGATCAATAACATCATTGATTTCATTTTATTCTTTTAATAAAATTCAGGCTTAATTTTGATCCAAATTCATCAATTCAACAAATTAACAAAATTAAAATCAACAATTTAAAAAAAAAATTAACAATTTAAGAAAATTGGAAGAGTCATCTGATAAAAATATTTCAATTAATCATTAAAATTTTTAATTAAACAAACTTAAATATATTCATTTTCTTTTGAATTTTTTTATTCATTGAATTCATAGCAAAGGAATTCAATACAATTAATTAGTTGAATTTTACTTTTTTAAAATTCTTTTCATTTATCTGAAATAATTTATATATTATAATATTATTACTCGCAAATATCACTCATAAATGGCTTAAAAACATTTACTTGTAATCTCTATAAAGTAAAAAAAAAAAAAAATTAAAATATTATTTCTTGTAAATATTACTCGTAAATGGCGTAAAAACATTTTCTTGTAACCTTCACAAAGTAAAAGAATATTATAGTATTATTACTCGTAAATGGCGTAAAAACATTTTCTTGTAACCTTCACAAAGTAAAAGAATATTATAGTATTATTACTCGTAAATGGCGTAAAAACATTTACTTGTAACCTTCACAAAGTAAAAGAATATTATAGTATTATTACTCGTAAATGGCGTAAAAACATTTACTTATAATCTTTATAAAGCAAAATATTGGTAATCGTAAATATTACTCGTAAATGGCGTAAAAACGTTCACTTACGCAATCTTTACCTAATGTTTACAAAGCAATGAAAAATTTAGGTAACACAAATTGAAATGGAAATTAGATATAAAATTTTTTTTTTTTTTTGTTTTCCATTGACAGTTCATATCAAATTAAATTATATTTGCATATTTGAAATGTCTGAAAAAAAAATGAGCAATTTTAATAAAATTTAAACTAAAATTTAATTTGCAATTTTTATAAAGCAATGAAAAATTTATTTTTCTTCGTTATTAATTATAACCTATTTGTTTTTTATTTTTTTTTTTTTGTTTATTTTAGGTTTTATTCAAGAAAGTATTTGGTGATGCGACAATTGAGCAGGTGTCACTTTTTATGAGTGGTTTAGGCTTACTTAATGCATCACTTAATTCATTACCAATGATAATATTACTCATAAATGGTATTGAAACATTTACCTGGTTCGATGTACCTTGGTTTTCACTTCTTGCTGTTGCATTTTTATCATTGTGTAAGTAATAATTTCTAGAATATTTCCTATTAATTAAGTTTTAATTATAAATTATCAAAAAATATTATCAATTAAGTGTTAAATCTTTTAAACAATCTTCAAAAAAAAAGAAACTTTTCAAATTTAACATCGATAAATGATAAATTGATAAAATTTAATAAACTTAATTAAATTTAATTTTTTCATATTTTCCTATCCTTCTAAAAAAAAGAAAATTTTGTTTTTTTTTTTTAAATTTAAGTCAAATTTTTTTACCTCCTTCTAATCTTTTTTTCCTTTTTTTTTTTCAGGGTTTAATTTTCTTATAAATTTTGGAATTGCTTTATTGCATCCATTAGTAATATCTATTGGAATGCTATTTGGTATTCCAATTAGTGCAGGTAAGAGGAAAAGAGTTTTTTTTTTTTTTTTCAAAAATTTAAATGAATAATTTAAATAGGGCTATTTTATTTCTATAATATATGTATATTTTAATGATATAAATGATAAAAAAAAAAAAAATGGAAAATGAAATTCTGCTAATTAATAATATAAATGATAAAATAAAATTAAAATTTCTATCATTTTAACATTAGTTTCATTCAAAATATTAGATAATATTATTAATTACTAATTAAATGTTTGTTTTTCTTTTCTTTTTTGTAATTTCTAATTTTTTTTTTTTTTTTTTAATTAATCTAAAATGAATCACTAATATAATTTTATCATAAATTATTTCTTCTTTATATTTTCTAAAACTTTATATGATAATTAAATGTTTGTAATTTCTAATTTTAATTAATCTAAATTAAAACACTAATATAATTTTATCATAAATTATTTCTTCTTTATATGATAATTAATATGTTTGTAATTTCTAATTTTAATTAATCTAAATTAAAATACTAATATAATTTTATCATAAATTATTTCTTCTTTATATTTTCTAAAACTTTTTTTTTTTTTTTTCAGCTATTGATATTATCTTTCGTCATATGACTGCAACATATTATTTTATCATTGGCGCACTACTAATATTATTTTCTTGTATAATTGTTATTGTACCAGCAGAATTATTTCATTGCTCGTTGAAAATGAAAGTGAAAAAAGATGGAAATCAAAATTAAAAAACAAATTTACATCCATTTACAACCTTATATTTCCTTTTTTAATTTTTTATTTTTCACATAAATAACATGTATTAATATTAGCAAATAGTCTTTTATCAAATGCCTCCCCAAAAAAAAAAAATATTTATTATTAATTATTGTTGATTATTAGATGAAAAATAGATAAAATAAAGTTAAGTTTTATTTTACAACGAAATTACATGTTCTTTTTTTTTTTTTATTAATTCAGAAGCATCAATTTATAAATTATTACAACTAGAATAAATTGTTAATTTTAATAAATTTCTAATTTTCAACATTCTTCAATTTTCAACTACACAAACTTAATCATTCCATAAGTTAATTAATGTTAATAAATGCAAGCATTGTAATTTCTATTTCTATCAAACAAAAATTATGCATGCTAATAGAGATAAAATAGAGATAGAAAGAGAAAATGTAATAATTAAAAGCATAAGCGAACTATTACTGTTCACAATAATAATAATAATAAAGAAATCGTTGAAATGCAAATATTTATATTTACAAAAGTTAAATTTTAGGTATGCAAAATTGGATAAATCTGAAGTAAATAAAAATTCTATAACAAAATATTTGATACATTTCAAAAAAGTATACGAGATTGAATCACACAGAGCTACATTTGTAAAAATTGAATCACACAGAGCTACATTTGTAAAAATTGAATCACACAGAGCTACATTTGTAAAAATTGAATCACACAGAGCTACATTTGTAAAATTCATAAACTCGTCTAATACTCTGGAGGCTAACAGAAAGTCAAATTACAACCCATTAGAATTTTATAATTCAAAGAAAAAAAAAAAAAAAAAAAAAGAAAGAAAGCAGAAAAAGGAATAATGCTGATTTTGTTGAAAAGATTATTTCAATAAAGAAATAATTAATGCATTAATGAAAATAATTTTATCGTAACAAATCAGAAATGTCATTTATTAAGTTATTTTGTTTAGAATTTGTGTTTAGAGTGCTCAATGAATTTAATGAAAAATTATTTTTTGTATTAAGTTTAGTTGGAAAACATACAATATCATCAAAAGCAGACATATTTAACTTTTTATTCACTTCATTCAATGATACATTTTCACTTCGATTCATTGCCATTTGTTGACCTAAACCACTTCTAGCTACTGGATTTTGTACAACTGGTGGTTTAGGTAAATTAATTGCATTAACTGTTGTTGATTGATGTATAAATGAGTTATCTTGTTCTGTTCTAAATGATTCTGGCCAAATAGAACTATCTGCATTCTTCACTGTACCTTCATTCTTCATCTAGAATTATCACAAAGTTTGCTATTCATCAGAGACAGGAATTGTTGGATCAGAAGTAAAAATTAGAATTATACTATCTAAATATATATATTTATTTATATGAATATGATCTTCATGTATAATTATTTCCAGTAATTAAAAAAAAAATCAATACTCAAAAAGTACAAGAAAATGAACAAACCTTTTCAGAGATAGATGATGAAGGAAAAAAATCGGAGAGATCTATTTGAGACTGATATGTTGAAATAGAATTAGACGGGATTAATAAATTGCAACCAATTTCCTGTACAGCAGAATCAATCGGTGAGATAATAAATTTTGAATTTGTAGACTGGCTCTTATTTATACTTTCGCTAGCACTAACTGGTTGCAAAAGATTTGGTTGATTACGCATTCGTAAGCTCTGCTCTTGCTCCGCTGCTAATCGTTTCTTATCAGCAAGACTCAATGGTCCCTAAAAATAATTCAAACAAAAACAAATGCAAAGTTTATTGGTATATATATATATTTTTTTTTAAAAACGTGAGCGATTTAAATATTTAATTAATTGAATTCAATAGTAAACTTATTTACAAATTAAAATTATCCAATAAGTGAATTAAAATAAATTAAAACAAATGAAATGCATTACTTTACTTACAGTATTTCTATTAGTATCATTTGCTTTCCCATTTATTGATCCATTGATAACCAAATCTGATAGATTGTCAGATATTAAATCCTGCAGAATTTGCTATCACTAGCATAGTAGTTTTGCAAAGTCAGATCAATTTGTCTTGCTGATAAGAATTATAAATAATGACAGTCAAACAATTAGAAGATTGTTACCTTGTTCTGAGTAATTGATTGTCCAAGTACACTAGCAAACTCGCCAATGCTACGCTGTTCCTCTTGAGTAGCACTTAGTTGTTGTAATCGTTGTCGTTGTTCTTTCTCAATCTGTAATACAATTTAATGATAGCAAAAAAAAAAAAAAAACCCAACAAGTTATTTAGCAATTACTTTATCTAGTATGCGATGTATCAATGACATATATTGTTCAAATTGAGGCATATTCAATGTGTTCTCCATGGAAGAAGCAATCAGAAATGGCAAAATACTTCTGGCACATTGTTCTCGAGTTATACCAAAACGACTCTCTTCATAAGCTAACTTATAGATCCCTGCAATTAAAGCAAACTAACTCATTACTAATCTAAATTTCATCCCTTTATAAACCATTATGGTTAACACAAATTGATATTATTATTTTTGAAAATTTTTCACATGACTCAATTTTTTCTTTTCAAAAAAATGGTTACTAAAATCTCATTTTAGGGATGAATATCTAATTTCAAAGAGAACCTCTATTCTATGAAGTGTATATCATTTATTTGTTGAAATTGAAGAAAAAATATACCCAAAATAGCCATAAGAATTGCTGGCTCCCGGCTAATCACTTTCGGTAAAGCTGGAATGATTTGTTCCGTTACCATCCATGGCTCCAGAGAAGGCAATAACTTCCCTATGCATAACAGTGCTTGAACTCGTATCTATAAAAATAAAATATGTTTAGTGGAAGGTAAGTATAATATATTTTAGCTTGCCAGAATTATAAAATAAAGCAAATAATGAAATAAATAAGCAAACAAATTAATCGGTTGGCTAATTAAGCAAAAATAAACGCTGACAAAATTAGGAAAATGAATATATCTCACAGTTAACACTCCTCCTCCATCTATAATTAATAGTAGCAACTTGGGTAACACTTCCGTTTTCATAGATTGTCTTTCAATCATTGTGGCAACTTTTGGAACGATTGAAAGACACAATTCCTGTAAACATTTTTTATTCTTTCGTGAAAAAAAAAAAAAACTTTTCTTGCTCACTTTTCGGAAGTATGAAAGAAGACGTTCTAATTTAAGAAGAATAAAAAGCACCTGGATTTTTACTGTCTCGCTGGATAAAGCATTACAAATTAAAGGTAATAGATATTTACGAGCATCTTCTTCGCTTGTTTTTTGCAGTAACAGATCCATATTTTGCAAAAACATCAACAAAATCTGCAACATTAAGGTAAGCAAATGCACATATTCATTTTTCCCGGCATAAAATTAACATAAAGATTTTCTGATCAAAAGAGTAACCTCTGCAAAATACAGTAAACTCACTTGGTATGGTCGGTCAAGAGTAAATATCGGGATTAATTGCGGTAAAATTGCAGCAGTAAATTCATCGCTGTTAGCTGTTGCAGTAATATGAAAAATACTAGGAAGAATGAATGGTATTAATTCTGCTGCAATAAATTCTGCACATAGTTGCGGGAGAATTTTTTGCACAAGCGGTCGCTGAAAAAACTCACATTTTCATCAATAGCATCATGTGTTATCATTATTAAAGATCATAATGGATAGATATATATGAATCATAAGAAGAATATTTCTTATTTTCAAAAGATTTGCCAGTATTTATATTAGTGATCACTTTTGGGAATTTCATCAAGAACTGCGGTAACTGCTTGAAAAAATTCATTTTCTGAGTGTAGTCCATTTGGCATAAAGAATCCAGACTGTTCAGTGTTCGAATTAATGGCTCATCAAAGTAGGCAATCTATAAAAAAAGTTATATTTGAATAAATGTTAAGCAAAATTATATTTCATTATCTGCATGTTGTACCAGATGTTATGTAAAGCATGCAAATTAATACAGCTGAAACATCAATTATAATAGAAAGAATATAAGGAATAATAGAGATGGAATTACCTTAGAAAATTGAGTAGCATCGGGTCGGAGATCAGGTGTTAAATTCAGGCACATTTTTAGATCGTCACGTAGCTCAGCAGAAACATTCACAAACATTGACACCGGTAATGTGTTTAACTGAAAATAATAATCTATTGATAATATACTTGTAGCAATAATCAGTGTATATAAATTTTAAATTATAACCTTTTCAGTATTTTTGCGAAAATTATCCAACGAATTTCTGTTATCAAATGGCTGCTTTCCTTTATTAAAAACCGTTAGCACCATAATTCCAAACGAGAATATATCAGCATAAGGATCACACCGGCCACCAATTACATATTCCGGAGCTAAATAATCTAATAACGGCTGGACAACAGACATAGTTCGCTGATTCCATTCCAACATTTCATACATCACCTAGAAAATTGACAGAACATTAAATATTAGTCAACGCTCATAAAAGCTTCCTTTTACAAATAACTTATCGCAACAAAATTACAGAATTATTGACAGAGTTATTACAGAATTAATGGCTAGAAAAAAATCACATAATATTACAACATTAGGAAGAACTTCAGTTACATTTCAGAACTTAACAATGAATGTTCATTTAAAATTCCACACCTGATTATTGGCACCTTGCGTACCTTGCACCGCAAAATCAAAACCTGCTAATTTCCATTCACCTTTTTCATTGATTATCACACTTTCAGGTGATATATTTCGATGCATCATCCGCACATCAATATGCAAAAATGATAAAGCTTCAACAATCTGCAATATTCTAGCAAGAACTGAGTGGGAATTATCATCATAGTTAAGTGATTGAGAAAATGACGAATTTACCATGATTTAAAAAAAAAAAAAAAACCACTTTACTTGAAAAAGTCCATAGCGAATTTCAATATCCAAAAGTTCGAATTCATCTAAATGTGTCGGATAAGGAGATATATTATCTAAATGTCCAAGAACGTTAGCCAATGATGCAAACACAGGCTCTGTACAGAAAGCGTACGAATCTCTAAAGTATTCTTTAGAAAAACATTGGAAATAACAAAAGAACAAAATCCCAGAAAATCAGTACAACGCTCTTCCTGCGAAACTACGACTTCACTGGTCATTTAATGAATTTTTTAAGAACTATAATGCATGGACAAAAAAAAAAAAAAAAAAATAACCGAGATTCTTCAAGTGGATGTTCAATAACAAGAATGCGTGGATGTCTTAAACGGGTAAGTTGTGATACTCCTCTCTTCAAGATTTCCGAAAATAATTCCCTTTCATATTTTGGCCACTTTTCCAAATTACGTTTCTCAAATAACCAGACGGAAACAGGCTAAAATAAGATGCAATCCGTTTCGATAGTTTGATAAAACTAATGAAATAAAAAAAAAAACATATCACATATCACAGTCGTAAAAATTTATAAACTTACAAGTTATATGAATTATCTCTAATGTTTAAACTATTATTGAATAGTTACCTTTTTAGTTGAACGCTTCTGAGCTGCATAAATTTTCCAACTAAATACCGGTCCAGCACTTCCAACTTGTGATAATACTTCGTAATCTCGTGTTACTGGATTTCCCGGTAAAGCATTACTTACTTGTGCTGCTACTGAAGTTACTGTAGAACGTATTCGATTCAAATAATAGTCAACATTTATTGCCATCTACCACCACCTCCACCCCCTGAAAAATGAAAAGACGATAAAAATATTCATCCATTCATTCCGCTCTTTCTTATATTTGCATACAATTTCAATTAGATTATTAATAAAACTTAATGATAACAATTATCTCATCATAACTGATTATGCATAACCAAATCGTTTACATATATTTTCATGTTATTTAACTTGTTATAAAAAAAAAAAAAAACAAAACAAATAATGATAGTTTTTATATTTTGCAAGTTTTAAATAAGTTCAAAAGATACCAAAAAAAGAAAAAAGAATTCTAATTACTATCTAGATCAAATTAACGATTAAATCCAAAACAACACAAATGGATTCATTCAATCAAATGATTCATTTTAATGACAAAATCGATTCTTCTTAATCTAATCCATCCAAGAAACACTAATAGCACATTTTATGTACTTTTTCTCAATCATCCTTCCCTCTCTTCAAACACCACTGTTCTTTTTACTATTATTTAAGTGCCTGTTAAATTCAAATCATTTCATTATTAATTTTCCAATCATTCTTTTAATCAATCATCTTTTGTATTTCAATTCATATCTACTAACTAATAATCTTTTCACTAAGATATGATATCACTACGATATGATAATGCCCTGTGATGTTTATTTATTTGAAGAAGTAATCACTAAGTTAACTCTAAAAAAAAAAGTACTCACAAAAATATTAGCTTAATTTGTAGCATTTGTAAATGAAATTATGATTTAAAATACGTCAAAGTAAATCGAATTACTAGTAAATTAGCACAAAACAGGTGTGTTTTCTCAATTAAAATTAGTATAAAAACAGGTATGCTTTATATTCCCAGAAAATGCACATCCAAAAATTAATCCAACAAAAATGCTTCACAATTTCAATATGACCAATTTGTCGTGCTGCAACTTTGATGGTTGGTTCGAAAGAGAGAGAGAGGGAGAAGGAGGGGGAGAGAAAGAGAGAGAGAGAAGGAGAGGGAGATAGCGTTTGTAGATGGCAATGAGAGGATGGTTGGATTAAAATTGTTAGAGGTGACGAAGAGGTCATTTTGTAATATTAGCTAATTAATTTAACTCTCGTAATTGTTGTGAATTATTTCTAGAAATTATGAATAAATCTCTCTCAGATATTTGTGGAAATTATGAACAAATCTGTCTCAATTATTTCTAGGAATTATGAATAAATCTCTCTCAGTTATTTCTAGATCTGAAAATTATGAATAAATCTCTCTCAGTTATTTCTGAAAATTATGAATAAATCTCTCTCAGATATTTCTGAAAATTATGAACAAATCTCTCTCAGTTATTTCTAGAAATTATGAATAAATCTCTCTCTTGTGTTATATTTATATTCCAAAATGAAAAAAGAACGGAAAATATTTCAGAAGAACAATTACTAGACTCAAAATGGCTGACAATGAAGGGATCCTCGCTGCACAATTTCGATCTGTTACTGGTAAATTTCTCCTACAAATATTTTATATATATATATATATACATTTAACATTTGTATAAATTAAATTCTTACGGATATATTTTACAGAAAAAGTTTGCATATATGATAAAAAGGTTAGAAATTAGTAGTATTTCTTATTACTATATATTGTTGTATTTTGAACAATATTTTAATGATCAAATTTATGAAAGTTTAAAAAAAAAAAAAAAAAAAAAAGAAAAAATAAATTCAGGTTGTACGAATGCGGTAGAGGCATCCCAGTACTTGGAAATGTGTAATGGTAATTTGGAATTGGCCGTAAATTTATATTTTCAACAACTCCAACCATCATCATCATCATCAACAACGATAAACGGTGAGGAATCACCAGATATCATTTGCATTGGCAAGAATGCAGGACGACGTAATGCTACTGCATCACATCATGCCATATGTGGAACAACTACAAATTCTCGAGTTAACAATACTGATAATGATATGTATGTTTCTTTATTTATTATCATCAAAAATTTAATATTTATATGCTGTGATAAATGTAATTGTCAGTTATTTAATAATAATTCATCTGTTATTAGTAAACAACTCACTGTAACTAGCAAAAAAAAAAAAAAAACACGAAACTCGAACGGATTTCAAAATTGCAATATCATAGTTTGTATGAAGATACTAATTTTTGAACTGATTATCCTAATAATGATAACGTCTCTTTTAATTGCTAACTGTTTCATTATTCTGTTTATGGTATAATTAATTTGTTTGTTTGTTTCTTCAGGAGTTAAAAGTTTATATAGCTTGTAAAAAAATGGTAACCTTGAGACAAACACAAAATATTTTGTAGAAAACACTTCAGGTCAACAATAGCTAACAGTGATGTACGCGAGCCAATAGCACCTGTACGTGGAGCTATTATTGAGCAAACATTTGCGCAGCAGTACAGTGAGTTACAATTTACTTGTTGTACGGAACCTTATGTTATGGTGATAGTTGTTTTATGTATTATTTTTCAAAACTATAATATTATATTTTATATGAAGATACTAATTCTTGATCTGATTCTCCTAATAATCATAATTTCTCATAAATTTTTTGACATATATTTTTTCTAGTAAAAACTACTAACTTCACGAGAAATACCTGTTAGTTTCAGATCGACAAAATGGGAGACATGGTTCTTCAGTATTTGATACCGGTCGTGATTTTCGTGCTGAAGCGGGTAATTCTTTTTTTTTTTTTGTTCACTACAACACTCCAGATATTTAAATCTTAGCATGAGAGCTGTCAGCTATTTATACGGTCAAGCAATGGTTGTGCATTGTTTTCGGGTTATTTATTTCGACTACAGAATATCCAGATTTCTCTCAAACATTGTTACAATTGTTATTTATTACAGCAAGTAAAATTTCGACTTTTTTAAATTTTTTGTCTTAAATTTAAAAAAAATTTTAAAATGTTAAATTTTATTTCAGGAGAAAGAATGGCTATGTTACAAAACAGGCACAACACATTCGATTCGACCGTAGCTAAGCGTATAACTCTTCAAAATCTTTTTCGTCCTCCGATAGATATTATGTTCAATGGTGATTGGGATGCTGTTAGTTGCTTCTTAATGTTGATATTTTTGTTTTATGAAGTACAATTATCAAAACATTTCGCTATCAGTTACAATTTTGCTACTACTAAAATTAAATTTGTTTTTGAATAATTCAAACATCATTCAGTAATTATCCGAACTGATATCCAAATACTACACTGGAAAACAAACACTTTTTCCCTCCTTATGGGCAGAAACTACACTACATTAGCAATTAATCCCACGTCAGTTTATTGCTTACCAATGGGAAAGAAAAAATTCAAAAGTAGTAACTAAATCTCACAAGCAATGATAACATTCATCAAATTCCATTTAATATTTATTGCTCAGCTCATAAATGTTGCAGGTTCGAGTTGAAGCTCAGTTACGTGAACAATGGCTACTTGTTAATATACAGGATGATCTGGAATTCGCTTGTCAAACGCTTAATCGTGATTTGTGGTCCAATTTATCCGTAAAAGAACTTCTACGGTCAAATTTTATTTTTTGGCAGGTGAATAAACTTCAGTTTTTTAAATATTAGTTATATCATTAGAAATACCACTGAAAAAAAAAAAAAAAAAGTGCATATATAAATGCAAAATATTGTGTACCATGTTGGAAAATTTAAATGTTTTAGGTGCATAAAGATTCAGCTGATGGGAATAGAGTGAGTAATTATTACCGAATTTATACTTATCCAGCTGTTTTCATAGTTGATCCACGTACAGGAGAACAGTTAATTACGGTCGGTGCTAAAGACACTATGTCTTTCTGTGATCAAAGTAAGTACAATTTCATAGATTTTATTTTGCATTTCAAGATTTGTTCTATCAGTTCAATTTTTTACAATATTTGACTATTATTAGGATGAATGGAATTAGTATTCAGGCTGAAAACTGAAAGCATACGAAAAAAAAAAAGAAAAACCGTATATATTTTTACCTTCAGTTACAACATTTTTGGATGCTTGTCCAGATTTTGCTGCAAGAGACAAACAACTTACACTTACACCTACATCAAGTAATTTTGGACGGTTAATGTCAAAGGAGAATTGTGAACATAATCAATATACGGATGTAATTTAGCTATATGCAATTTCTTTTTCATTTTCATACAATTAAACTTTAAAAATGAGATGAGAAAAGAAAGGTTTATGATTTTTTTAAAACTATTTCTTTATTTGGTGATATCTTTGAACTAAATTTCTAATATATGATAGCATCTTCCCAGTATTGTTACCTTTTTATTTCAACCATTTCCTGACAGGTACAAAACTTATCGCCAAATCGAAAGCGTGTTCACTTTTCACAGCAAGACGAAATGATGGATGATGAGTGTAGTAATTCAAAAAAACCTCGTGAAGGTATGCTGCTTTTGTTATTGAGAGCTTCAGATGTTCTCAGTCAATCTCTGTGGTAATATAGCTAAACTTATGAATGCCTTCGTTATCTTCACTCTTAAAAATTGTAATTTTCATTTCAAAATATGTATTAGAAGTCTACAATGTAGCATCATTCTTACAATTGATAGAGCTATTTTTCATTGTTCATTCCTAAAATGTTTGTTAAATTAGCTAATTTTTCAGGTAATGATCGATCAGATATTGATGGTATAATAGATAGTGGTAGTAAACTAACAACAATTGATCGAGATGAATGGATGAAATGTGTTGGTAAGCCAGATGGTCGTGGATGCCGTCTTGTGCTATCTCTACGTTTGCCGGATGGTAATCGTCAGATGATGGAAGTAGAAGATACAACTACTCTCAAGGTAAAATTCAAAAATTTTGTTTTTTTCATTTTTTTATTTCAGAATTTTCCTAATGGTTACTTCAATATGCTCATGCTATTAATATTTCGATAATAAACCTATAATAGCTAATTTTCATTTGTATCGATAATTTTATATTTAATTTCTCTATCAAATTATGAATATAAAGATTTTTATCTGTAGTTACTGTGACTAGTTACAAGGAAGTAAGTATACAATAAGATTTTTTGTTATAGGCTATATTTGTGCTTATTGCTGGTCTTGGATTTTATCCAACAGATCATCAGCTTGTTCTCGATTATCCAAAACGAGTATATACCGATCAGGATCATTATCGTACACTTCGAGAGCTCAACTTTAGCAAAAGAGAGCTTATTCATGTGGAGAGACAGTGAAGATTTATTCTACAATATTGGAAGAGCAATATTGATTTCTTTTTTTTTTTTTTTTTTTTTTAAAAGTTATATCTAATATTTTTTTAAGAGTGTAAAAAGTAGTAAAATTTTTATAAAAGTTAAAGTTTTTTTATAAAAAATTTCTTTTATAAATTTTTGACTAAAACTTTGTATGCTATTTACTACAGGAAAATTATGAAAATTAAAAAAAAAAAAAAAAAAAATTAAAAATTGTTATTTTTGATGTAACTATGATAGGGTTCATTTCTTTTGTCCTTTTTATTTATTATGTCTGTGTAAATGATATTTATACAATATTGATATTTAAATAATTAAAGCACTTGTCATTGAGTGATTCTTTTATAATAGTTTGCATGTCAATAACTCATATCCCATTGTGGTGCAGTATTAACTAAATTGTTTATCTCTGGATTATTTATTCACTTATTATACGTCTACTTTTCAGTTATATATGTAAGTTATTGATAGTACAGCTATTAGTTTTTTTTTATCATACTTTAAGAAGCAAGCACCACTTTGAAATTTATCGTAAGTAGTATATGGGTTTAGTAACTGTCTCTCTGTGTATGTGTATGTGATCATTTCGTATAAATTGTTTACATAACAATTTCAATTGTAAATGATCTATCTATCTTTATTTTGTGCATTTTCCACATTGCTAAATTTCTTTCTGATTATAAATTTTATTTTTAGGCTTGTTCCAATTTTTTTTTTCTCTTTCTCTTTCTCTTTCTTTTTTTTTTTTTTTTTTTTTTTTTTTTTTTGTTTTTTGTTGTATTGGTAAATTTTGATTCTTAAATATCTTCCATTTGCTCTTTCTTTATTGAAATTTGAAGTTAAAAATTAACAATAAGCTGTTGATTATGCTGCCTGAGAAAGTACTTTCATTTTGAGATTTATATGTAATTCCTGAATAATCTTTTAAAATGATATTAACAAATAGATTTTTGTGTTTATTTTGCAGGATTTAAAATCTAGCACCTATATTATTGTTTTTTTTTTTTTTTTTTCATTGGTTTCATTGGTGAGATGAAATTAATATTTGGTTATATTCGAAGAAATCACATTTTGTAACACATATGCATTAAGTAATGAATGACAATCCTGTGATAATCAATCATAATTTTCGTATTTTACATACAAGAAAAATCAAGATTTTGATGTTTGATCTTTGGTAGAGGTATCTAAATAATACTTTTTGTGACAGAAAATTAGGTATTTTGATGGTGAGAAATAGTTTAAAAATTTGTTTTGAGTTTAAAAAATAGCAAAATTCTTTGAAGTAGTATATGCCATATTGAGTAAAAAAGTCTAAACATAATATTATGAGTTTATATGACAATTAAATAATTTCATTTCTTTATTTTTGAACAATCTAATAACTTTTTAATCATATTTATATTTTATAGCAATTTTAACTTCTATTTTGTTGTATTTTACGGAATAGAAATGATCGATTAACTTTTAGTAACATTTCTGAATTGGCAATGCTGCCTTTATTTGGTTATAGAATTATTTTAATTAAATTTCATCGGGAATAAAAATAAAAAAGTTTTAAAAAATAGAGTGGTAGGAATTATTGTGTACATAATGATTGATAATTATTATGTAACATTAACAAATTTGTAAATTTTATAGATTATTTTCAGGTAATTAGAAATTTTGAGCAAAACATTTCCAGCAAAGATAATTTTAATCTTAGTTTTCAATAAACAGAACAATGATCTTTAACATTTTTATTTTCATATCGTTTTTTTTTTTTTTTTTTTTTTTTATGCTAATGGATTTCTTTGATTTTCATATTGGATCAAAAAATTAGTTTAACAAATATTACTGATCATTTTTCATTTTTGAAAAAAGAAAAATTGAAAATTCGGTTATGAATTTTTTTGAAAATGATAGAGATAAAAAGATGCTAAGAATATTTCAAATTTATTTTCAATATTTTTTTTTTTATTTTATAAAATTTTATATTTATACTATCATTCTGTTTTTTTTTTTTTTTTTTATTTATGCTTAACAATAATTTATTTTCTACGTTTTGTACTTCTTTCTTTTCTCATCTTTATGTTTTATATGAATTTGAATTGTAATATTAACCATTGATATATGTATTTTAGAATTTTAAAAACAAATTAAAAAATGTACATACATTCTAAATAAAATGGTATACATAAAATTTCAAGAAATTTTAATATATTTATTTTCAATTTTTACAAATTTATTTAACATGTTCTAAAAAATTTTTGAGTATTTAATTTCCAATATCTATGATCAGTAATTACATTTTTTTTTTTTTTTTCAAAATTCTAAATATTTGATCAATTTTTTTTATTCTGATCGTATGTAATCAGCCAATATAGTTATTAAATATGAATTTGTAAAAAAAAAAAAAAAAATAGTAATTCAAATAAGTTATTTCAATTATTGAAAATTTTTTTTGATTAAAATGATCAGATCAAATTGTTATCATTGATATTCAAATTTTGATAAACAATTAAGCAATCTAGTAAAATGATTAAGTAATTTAACATGTTTTTATGAAATAATTAATAAATTTTACTTTTTCAAAAAACCAGTAAATAAATTTTAATTTTTCAAAAAATCAGTAAACATTAAGAAAAAAAAAAAAATTAAAATAATGCTGGACAAATAAGACATATGAATTATCTAACAAACATCAAATAGCATTTAAAATAAAAGTTTAATAATAATAATAATAATAATTATTCATACAATAATTATTTTTTATATTTTCAACTATATTAGAAATATAAGAAAGTATACCTCATAGATCAAGATAGAAAACAAAAAAAAAAAAAAAAACCAAATCCATATAGAGTAAATTAAATTTTAAAATTCAAAATAATAACAAAAAAAAAAAAAGAAAAAGAATTGAAGAATTAAATTTGTTATCATTAAATTTAATTGCATCAGTTTGTTGATATATACGTTACTTTCAAAATATTTTAACCAACAATTTACAAAAAAAAAAAACTATCAAATTTCATTTTTACTTAATAAAATACAATCAGCACTAAGTTTTTTTTTACTAGCTTGCTTATCATCAGCATTGATAAAAGAATGATAAAAGATAAAAGAAGAAATTATCTAATGAATAATAGAAGTAATCATTTGCGCCTAATATTTTACAAATTAAACTATTTAATTATTTGCATTAGTAATTTTAATAATATCACTTGCTAAATCAAAACTTTCACTCAATGCGCTTCGTCTCCACATGATAGCATTTCTTATCATTACTGCCACAATCTATAATAATAATAATAATAATAATAATAATAATAATAATAATAATAATAATAATAATAATAATAATAATCGTAGTAATAATAATAATATTTTTACTTCGTTATTTTCATTATTCTCAATCATTTAATTATTAAAAAATAATTGTAAAAAGTTAAACTGATAAGCTGTAAAAAATTCAATTGATAAGCATTAATCAATAAATCAATAAAATCATTTTTATTACCTTATTAAACGGATCAATGATCAAATTTTGATTTCCATGACCAGGATGTATGATCAGAAATTCCTATAATAAATATGCATAAAAATTAATTTCAAATTTTAACAAGAAATTTTAATTGTTAATTTGGCATTAGCAAAATTAGAATATACAAGTCAAAATAATTCGAAATATTACTAAAATATTAGTGAGAAATAATCATTAGACAAAATAATATTTTTATTTTCTAATAATTTTAAGTTTTTTCTTTTTTCTTTAATGTATATTTTTATTCTCTTATACTTTTGTTCAAATATTTTTGAACCTAATTAGATTATGATGATGATAATAATGATAATGATGATAATGAAATGATAATAGCGATAAAGATAATAATGATAATGATAATAATGAAATGATGATGATGATGATGAAATGATGATAATGATAATAATGATAAAGATAATAATGATAGTGATAATAATGAAATGATGATGATGAAATGATGATAATGATAATAATGAAATGATGATGATGATGATGAAATGATGATAATGATAATAATGATAAAGATAATAATGATAATGATAATAATGAAATGATGATGATGATGATGAAATGATGATAATGATAATAATGAAATGATGATGATGATGATGAAATGATGATAATGATAATAATGAAATGATGATGATGATGATGAAATGATGATAATGATAATAATGAAATGATGATGATGATGATGAAATGATGATAATGATAATAATGAAATGATGATGATGATGATGATGAAATGATGATAATGATAATAATGATAAATTATCATTTTCAAATAAATACTTTGTCACATATATATTTCATGCATTCTTTTTTTGCTCTTTTTTTTTATAAAAGAATTTTTTTTTATAAAAGAATATCAGTTAATAGATGATAATATTTCATATTAATTTTTTTTTTTTCTTAAATATTTGATTTGGATTTTTCTTTAAAAAAAAAAAACAAACATTTTGACGAATTGGATGTGGTCTATAGAAGAAGCCATGACCACGATAAAGATTGAAATATGTTATTCTATCTTGGCTATATTCCACTGGTTTACTTATTTCTTTCCATACTTTTTCACTTATTAAATTTTTCTAAATAAATAAAAAGAAAAAAAAAATTTTATTTGAGATAAATTAATTGGAAAAAAAAAAAAAAAGGAATTATGCAATAAAGAATAATCGTTTTTTCTGTCTATTTACTTATTTTTCTGCTTTTTAATAAGAGTTTTAATTAAAAGATAATAAAAGTTATAATAAAAAAAATTATTTTATCATATTTTTGCAACATTATATTTATTTATAAGATGTTAAAAAAAAAAATTATCAATTGTTAATTCTTATCACTTATCATGTTAAACCAATTAAAATTATTCAATGTATAAAAGTTTGTAGTGTAATTTTTATTGAATAATAAATTTAAATTTAATAATTATTACCTTCCAAATTGTAGAAATAACATTTGCAAGTCCTCGAGCAGTTCCAATACCTAATACTGCAACATTTTCTATTTCTCGAACTGCTGGATTATTATATGGCATTTCATCCTAGAATATATTTGCATATTTGTAGAAATGTTATCGTAGAGAGAGAGAAGAGAGAGAGAGTGGAGAGAAAGAGAAGAAATCAAACTTTTAAGTTAATTTAAACATTTATTTGTCAATAGATTTTGAACATTTTCATTCGTCAATTGATTATATCTTCATTAATGTAATCAGTATGACTATGCTATCACAATCAATCAGTCAATCAATCAATAAATCAATTAATCTGTCAATAGATTATATCTTCATTATTGTGATCACTATGATTATACTATCACAATCAATCAGTCGATCGATCAATCAATCTGTCAATCTGTCAACTGATTATATCTTCATTATTGTGATCACTATGATTATACTATCACAATCAATCAGTCGATCGATCAATCAATCTGTCAATCTGTCAACCTGTCAACTGATTATATCTTCATTAATGTAACAAGTATGACTATGCTATCACAATCTGTCAACCAAACAATCAATCAATTAATAAATCAATCAATCAGCCAATTAATCAACCGATCAACCAATCAATCTGTCAACTGACTATGTCTTCATTAGTGCAATCAGTACGACCACGCTATCACAATTAATCAATCAATCAATCAGTCAATCATTCAATCAATCAATCGATCAATCAATCAACCGATCAACTAATCAATCTGTCAACTGACTATATCTTCATTAGTGCAATTAATACGACCACGCTATCACAATTAATCAATCAACCAATCGATCAGTCAATCATTTAATCAATCAATCGATCAATCAATCAACCAATCAATCAATCAATCAACCAATCGATCAATCAATCAATCAACCAATCGATCAAACAATTAATCAACCGATCAACCAATCAATCTGTCAACTGACTATATCTTTATTAGTGCAATTAATACGACCACGCTATCACAATTAATCAATCAATCAATCGATCAGTCAATCAATCAACCAATCAATCAATCAATCAACCAATCGATCAACCAATTAATCAACCGATCAACCAATCAATCTGTCAACTGACTATGTCTTCATTAGTGCAATCAGTACGACTACGCTATCACAATTAATCAATCAACCAATCAGTCAATCAATCAATCAATTAACCAATCGATCAATCAATCAACCAATCGATCAATCAATCAACCAACTGATCAACCAATCAATTTGTCAACTGACTATGTCTTCATTAGTGCAATTAATACGACCACGCTATCACAATTAATCAATCAATCAATCGATCAGTCAATCATTCAATCAATCAATCAATCGATCAATCAATCAACCAATCAATCAATCAACCAATCGATCAACCAATTAATCAACCGATCAACCAATCAATCTGTCAACTGACTATGTCTTCATTAGTGCAATTAATACGCTATCACAATCATTCAATCAACCAATCAATCAATCAATCAATCAATCAATCAATTGAAAGCTAACATTTAAGAAGCTAAGCCATAACGGATACTTTCCACCGCTGTACATTTCACAATGAAAAAAGCTGAAGACACAATTAAATATGAGTGGATAATACTGCAAATTTGTAGCCATATCATAAACAAATTCAAATGTTGTAGGTTGAACAATTCGAGCTACTCGATGATGCTTATCTCGAGGTAAACCCAAGTAGAAATCCTTATCTGTAAATTAAACTTTTTTTTTTGTTTTCCACTCATTAAAATTTGATGTAGTCAATAAAAAAAAAAAAAAAATCACATTATAAACAATTAAAAAAAGTAAATAAAAATAAAAATTTTACTCTAAATATTAACAATTTGAGAAAAAGCTCTTTTTTTTTTTTCTTTCAAGATAATATTTAATTTAGTTTTTATTAAATTATTCTATCTATTTGCAAACAAAAATAATTTAAAATAATTTTATCTTTTCTTTTTTTGAATAATTTATTTTCTTTTAATTGTAATAGTATTGCTAAAAAAAAAAGTAAATAAATAAATAAATAAAAACATTAACATAATGTATTATTTTAAATTATTTTTTTTTTTTTTGATGATAAGAAGATAAAATATGAAATAAAATTTTGATATGATAAAAAAATATCAAAAAATTTTAATGTATGTTTTATAAACAAAAAAAATAAAATTAATAGTAAAATTTTTATTATCAAAATTTATTAATCAATTAAATTATTTGAAAAATATAAATTAAATAAACAAACCATCCATATATTTTTGTATTTCTTCACGATAAAATTGTCCAATACTACGTTTTAGTGGATCAACACGTCGTACAATTTGATCTAATAGCCAACCAAATGTTATTGCATGATAACCTACTGCAGTACCTGCAGGCCACTTCGGTTTCATCTGATAAATTCTTTTTTTTAAATAATAAATTATTAATTTAAATTTAAATTCATTACAAATATACATAATAAAACGATATAATATAATACTGCAATATCTGCAGGAGATAAATTCTTTTTTTTTTTTAGAAGAAGTCATTTAAATTTAAATTTATTACAAATATACTACCTGCAGGCCACTTCGGTTTCATCTGATAAATTCTTTTTTTTTTAAAAAAAATGAATTACTAATTTAAATTTAAATTCATTACAAATATATATATATATATATATATAATGAAGCCATATAATACTGCAGTATCTGCAGGAGATAAATTCTTTTTTTTTTTTTTTTTAAATGAATTATTAATTTAAATTCATTACAAATATACATAATAAAACGATATAATATTGTAGTACCTGCAGGCCATTTCGCTTTCGTTTGATAATTTCTTTTTTTAAAAAAATAAATTATTAATTTAAATTTAAATTCATTACAAATATACATAATAAAACGATATAATATAATATTGCAATACCTGCAGGCGATAAATTTTTTTTTTTTTTTTAAATAAATTATTAATTTAAATTCGTTACAAATGTATACATAATAATAAAATTATATAATATAATAAAAAAGAATTTTTAAGTGATAAAAAAAAAGGAAACAAAAATTTTAAAAAACTTTTTTCTGTTGCAAAAAAAAAAAAAAAAAAAAAAAAACGGCGAAATTATTTTAAACATAACATAAACTACAACAATAAAAAAAAAAAACGATAATAATTGTTGATTTTTTTTTTTTTTGAAGAAATTTATTTGTAAATTTTAATTTTATAAAACTAATAAATAATAGACAAACTTTTTCAATAATACGAGATATATATTGATGATCTCGAGCTTGTTCTATTGTTAATTCTTCATCAAATGTAAATAAACCAGCCTAGAATAATTAATTATTATTTCCTCTTCAAATCTTGAAAAAAAAAAAATTTAATTCTATTTAGAAAATTTAATTCAGAAAAAAAAAAAAAAAAAAAAAAAACAATTTACTTTATGTTCAAGAATCCATTGAACGGTGATATTTTCCTTATTTTCAGCACCAAATTCAGGCCAATATTTTACAATCTAAAATATTTAAATTTAATTAATTAATAAAATTTAAATAAAATGAAATTATAATTAAAAACAAAAAATTTAACTAACTTTATCATCATATTGCAATTGTCCACGGCTAACAAGAATAGCAATAATTAAAGAACCAATAGCTTTTGATGATGAAAATGTCACTGTCATTGTATCATTATCCCATTCTCGAAATGCAGCTCTATATTATGCTAATTATATATTTTTTTTTTTAAAAAAAAACTTTTGAATTAAATAAAAATCAAAAATTAATTAACATATCGTTACAAAAAGTAATTCTAATTAATAAAAAAAAAAAAGTAATTCTAATTAATGTTAAAAAAAAAAAAAGAAAAGTAATTCTAATTAAAGTAATTCTAATTAATGTTACAAAGTAATTCTAATTAATAGTTATAAATAATTTATTAATTAAACTTTTTCTTTTTTTTTTAAAAAAAATGATGAATGAGTTGACTTTTTTTAAAGTGTTTTTTTTTTTAAATTTATTCTATAAACTAAATTAGTCATTTTTTTTGTTATATTTAAATTTCTCAAATTATAATTCATTATTCCTTTAATTTAATTTATAATTAGAAAATTTTTTTTAAATTAATTAAAATTTAAATTAAAATAAAATACTGTTGAAAAGATGAAATAATAGCAATAATAATAATACCTTTCAGCATAACCACCCCAAAGATCTACTATAAGTTTATCATTTTTATAAGCAGCAAATGCTAATCCTTCTTTTTCTCGTGATAAAATTTCACTGCAAAAAAAAAAAAAATTAATAATAATAAAAATTTATTTAAATTATTATCAATAAAAAGAAAAAAAAAACTTAATTAAATCTTTGAAAAAATAAAAATGCTAACATTGAATTAATGAATATTTTCTAATATTTGCATAAATCAATTTCGAATTTATCAAAAAAAAAAAATATTTTTATTAAAATTTCTTCTCTTCAACTTTTGTTATTGATCATTTTCTTTTTTTCACCAATCAATTAAATATGCATTTATTAAATTGAAAGAAAAAAGTTATATATTTTTTAGAAATATATATAGCATTATATATGAATTCGAAATTGAATTATGCAAATATTAGAAATTATATATTAACTAATTTTTTAGAAATATATATATATATATAGCATTATATATGAATTCGAAATTGATTTATGCAATATTAAAAATTATATATTAACTAATTTTTTAGAATATATATATATATATATATATATATATATATAGCATTATATATGAATTCGAAATTGAATTATGCAAATATTAGAAATTATATATTAACTAATTTTTTAGAATATATATATATAGCATTATATATGAATTCGAAATTGAATTATGCAAATATTAGAAATTATATATTAACTAATTTTTTAGAATATATATATATAGCATTATATATGAATTCGAAATTGAATTATGCAATATTAAAAATTATATATTAACTAATTTTTTAGAATATATATATATATAGCATTATATATGAATTCGAATTTGATTTATGCAATATTAAAAATTATATATTAATTAAATTTTTAGAAATATATATGTATAGCATTATTACTTTTTTTTTTTAATTTATAATTTAAAAAAAAAAAAAAAAAAAAGAAGACTTACTCAAAAAATATTTCTAATTTGTTGAAAATTTTCTTCTACATTTCCATTTGATTTGCATTCATTTCGTAGTGTTTTGAAAAGTCCAATAATTAAACCTATCAGAACTGCTATTGCTGCTCGTCGAACACCCATTTCGAATTGACAATAAACTTTTTTTTTTCTTTCTTTTTTTTTTTTTTTTTGTTGAATAAAAATTAAAATAAGTCAAATTTTTTTTTTTTTTAGGAAAAAAAAACGATTCATTCGATTCAACAATACATTAATTAATTAGTCGTTAAATGAAGGATATTCAACATTAAACGATGATAACTGATAATAATTAATTAATCGTTAAATCAAGAATATTCAGCATTTAATGATGATAATTAATTAACCGCTAAATCAAGAATACTCAACATTTAATGATAATAATTGACAATAATTAATTAATCATTAAATCAAAAATATTCAGCATTTAACGATGATAACTGATAATAATTAATTAATCGCTAAATCAAGAATATTCAGCATTTAACGATCATAACTGATAATAATTAATTAATCGCTAAATCAAGAATACTCAACATTTAATGATGATAAATTGATAATGGTTAATCAATCATTAAATCAAGAATATTCAGCATTTAACGATGATAACTGATAATAATTAATTAATCGCTAAATCAAGAATACTCAACATTTAATGATGATAAATTGATAATGGTTAATCAATCATTAAATCAAGAATATTCAACATTTAACAATAATAATTAATTAATCGCTAAATCAAGAATACTCAACATTTAATGATAATAAATTGATAACGGTTAATTAATCATTAAATAGAGAATATTCAACATTTAATGATAATAATTGATAATAATTAATTAATTGCTAAATCAAGAATACTCAACATTTAATGATAATAATTGATAGGCAAATATTTGATATACTCACAAACATTTTTATCAATAACAATGATAAGATAAAAATAAAGAAAAAATTATCAACAAAATGAATTGATATTTTAAATCATAGCTAATTTTTATTTATGATATATTAAAAAGACAAATAATTATAATTAAAATAAAGTAAACAGAAAAAATTTTTTTAAATTGTTTAAACAATTAATTAATTAATTAATCTTTTGCATAAGTATTGCTTTTATCTAATCATAACTAACAAAACTGATAACTGAGACTGATAACTGATAATAATTTTCATCATTTATTTTCGTTGTTTTTTTTCCTCATCCAATTTTATTGGAGGAAAATTGAAAAATTATTAGTAAATTATTTGATTTTATAAAAAATTTTACAATCAACCTATGAATAATTAATTCTTTATCATTTAACACATCACAAATATTATATATTAATGATTATGGCAAAAAAAAAACAAAAACAAAAACAAAAGTAAAAACTTACTAAAAGTAATTAATTAAATAATCAAATTATTAATTAATCGTATTGGAATTAGTAATTAATCATTTTTAACATTGAAAAAATTGTTGCTAAATGTAAAATTGTAAAATGATTCGACAAAAAAAAAAAAAAAAAAAAAACGAATATTTGCAAGTTGCATTCTTTTCAAAATTAATAAATTGTTGTTGATGGAAGAAAATTGAGGAAGCAAAGTGAAACGAAACTTTTAAAAAAAAAAATATTATTGAAAGAAATTTTTTTGTTAAAAAAAAAAAAAAAAAAAAAAAAGGAAAATTCAAAGTGTAAACAACATTTTCAGTAAATGATCAATAAAAAAAAAAATTGATTTCTTAATAAAATTTATGAAAAAAAAACAAACAAAAATGTAAAATGGTAATGAGAAATCTCTCTCTCTCTCTCTCTCTCTCTCTCAATAAGAAAAATCTAAAATTATTGATTAGCTTTTATTAAAAGATGACATATTGCATTGATCAGAGAACTGATAATGATAAATTAACCGGTTGATTTTTTAATGATTGCAAAGAACAGATAAGAAAGATCAAAGATTATCTGTACCCTTTCTATTCCACTTAAAATTGGCTTTTAACTTTTCATAACAAAAAAAAAAAAAAAAAAGAAAAGAAAAAATGTTAATATGAATGAATTAATTCATTTTGCTTTTTTTTGCTTCTTTTTTTTTTTTAATTGTAAATAATATTCATAATTAGTGATGTCATATAATAGATAATATAATATAAATGAAATTTCATGTAAAAAATTTCATAAATCAAAACATATTTGAATATAAGAAATAAATAGATTTAACCTAAAATATAAATATGAAATAAATGAAATTAATAGATTTAACCTGAAATATAAATATGAAATCGATCAATCAACAACAATAATACATTTTATTCTAAAAATAATTTATATTCAATAATAATATTAATAGTAAGTAATTATAATAATAATAATAACGATAATAATAACAACAACAATAATAATAATAACAATAATAATGATAGTAATAATAATAATAATAACAATAATAATAATAGTAATAATAATAATACTAACAATAATAATAATAATAATCAGATGTTTATATTATCAAACTTCTTTTTTTTTTTTTCACATATACTAAAAATAATTTAGTTAAGAAAGCTTAAATAAGTCAAAAAGGTGTCGCCAGTTTAGTGTCACATTGAGCACAACAACCTGCTCGCCGTATTGCATTCTTCAACGACTGTATCAAATGATTATTACAATGACATTGAAATCCTGTTTCATTTAACGCTAAAAATTTTAACGAACGATTAATATACCTGGCGCAACTGTCACATCATCATTATCAACACTTATGCACTCATCTACCAATCAATATTCATCTACCCATCTATTCATTTACCTATCTATTTACATCATCTACCAATCAATTCATCTACCCATCTATTCATTTACCTATCTATCTATTTACTCATCTAATTCATCTACTTTTCTACTAATAACGCTAAAAATTTCAACGAACTATTAATATACCTGGCGCAACTGTCACATCATCATTTATCAACACTTATGCACTCATCTACCAATCAATTCATCTACCCATTCATTCATTTATCCACCTATTCATCTACTTATCTACCCATTAATCCATTCATCTATCATTTCCCATTTATTACCTTTTTTTTTTTTTTTTTTTTTTTAATCATTTATCACCAACATAGTCGATTGTTTACTTTTATCATTAAATATGACATTATAAAAATTGAAACAATTAGTTAACAATATTATTGCTACTACGAAAAAATAATATGAATACATTTTCAAAAAGTAAAATATCAATTTAAAAAATGAAAAAATAAATTCATAAAAATAAATTTTTATTAAACTTAAAATAGTATAAGTTATGAATTGAAAAAAAGAATTCATACTGCATAGCCACAAAATTAATCTTAGAAAATGAATTAAATGAAAGGAGAAAAATAAAATGGATTAAAATATTTATTTGTTTGCAAAAAATAAAAAGTAAATTAATAGTTGAAAGTATTATTAAAGAATAGAAACGAAGAGGGAATGAATGCATATATAATAAATATAGCATTTTTTTTAAAAAAAAAAAAAAAGATTTGAGATTTAGAAAGATTTAACTCTTTCTAACTTTTAATTTTATTTCATACAATTAAATGTTATAAAATGAGTTACAAATTATTATTTTTAGTTGCTCATTTATATCTGATATTCAATCATTTTTCTTTTTCTTTTTTTTTTTTACTGCAACTTTTATGCAATGTAATTTATTAATCTAAGAAAAAATAAAAAGAAAAAAAAAATAAAAATTATAAAAAAAAAATGTTTGCTTAAGAATAAATAATATATTTAATAATTAATATTTTTACGCAACTATTAGTTTTATAAATTAATAAATTACGAATAATAATTAAGTACGTGTGCGTTTACATATGTAATAATTAAGTATATATAGTTAATTATATATAATTATTATGTATATATTTAATATATATCTAATAATTAATTATATATGTTAAGTATATAAGTTCATATATAATAATTAACTATATATTGAGTATATATACGTATACATATTAAGTACATATATAATAAATATATATATATAGATATGTATATATAATTAAGTACACATATTAAATACATATATAATTATTAAGTATACCACATATATAATAAGTATATAAGTACTTATATAGTAATTAAGTATATATAGTTAAGTATATATAACAAGGTATACATATTAAATACATGTATAATTATTAAGTATATAGGTATATATATATAATAATTAAGTATATTTATTAAGCATACATATATAATAATTAAATATATATACTGAACTATATATAATTAAGTATATACAAATAAATATACATATTAAGTACATATGTCCTAATTAAGCATATAAATGCATATATAGTAATTAAGTTTATATAGTGCATGTATAAAGTATACATATTAAGTAAATATATAATAGTTAAGTATTTATATTAAGTATATAAGTACATATATAATAATTAAGTATATATAATGATTAATAATCAAGAATATATGCATATATGTATTCAATTGTATGTTTTTTTTACATTTTCACACTGCAATAAATGCTTATGATAAGCATTAATTTTTGATAAGAATTAAAAATTTTCATTACAACAACAAAATTTTTCAAAAAATATTAAAAGACAAAAACAAAAACAAAAAAAAAAAAAAAAAAGAAATGAACCAGTTTTGACTATTTGTGGTGACAAAGTTGTTGACATTTACTTTAACGTAAATAACATTTTGTATAACTAGTAGCAATAACAATATTATTTTATCAAATAATATAGAATGAAACTTTGGGTAATGATAGCAATTTTTTATTTTTTACTTTTATAATATTATTATCATTTATTATTATTATTATTATTGCTATTGTTATTGTTAATAATTATTGCTATTATTTACTGTCATTATTGTTTATTATTAGTGTTATTATTATTATTATGACGAACCACTATTATTTTTTATTGCTATTATTTACTATCTTTATTAATTATTATTTTTATTTAAATAAATAATTCGAAAAAATTGCACCAACTAAAATCATAGCATTGTTATAATTATTAAAAGATGAAATTTTCAAAATAATAATAATAATAACATTATTATCAAAATTAATAAATTGTAAATTATTCATCCAAGTAATGA